CCCACTGCATCACCAGTCTGGCATACAACAACAAGGAAAGGACCCTTGAGAATTCGGGCTTTTCGAAATCGCTTCTTTGGAGTGGTTCTATCTCTTCAACCTGAAGTGCTTCACACAGAGGTTCGTGAATACTCGATAGACCAATCCACGAGAACATCCAGCTTCAACTCCTCTCATAATGGTTATGTGTTGGATTCAGACAATTATATAAACCAGGTCCTTGTGTTCGTGTTTCACCATGCTCAGGGGAGAACTATATGGGAGCCCTGGTCTGACTGGGAATACTCTATAGGTACCTTTCATTGGCACTTCAAGTTAGGTGCTTCCCAATACAGAAACCATCGCCTTCTGAAAACGTACAATCATCGAGTGCAATTTTAGAGTTCAAGTCCAACTGCAAAAAAGAGGAGGGGTATAGTCTGCTAAAATGAGAGCAATCAAGCTTGGAGCTCATTTAATGCAGTTCCGGAAGCCGCTCGCAATTTTTGGTCTCAATATTGCTGGTATGATGAGCTTTCACAATAAATTGAATGCAGCTGTAGGGTGATGGAGTTTTTATGAGAGGCTCGAACATTGGAATGGGAAGAAAAGCGCTCTACAATGAGTGCAAAGTTCAGATTTCGTTTGAGGTCCAACACTTAACGCTAGAGCTAAGACTAGAAGGTGTAGTCGACTTTGCGAGCCAGAAATGATGCCCAACACTAAACGCTCGAACATTGGAATGGGAAGAAAAGCGCTCTACAATGAGTGCAAAGTTCAGATTTCGTTTGATCTTCAACACTAAACGTTAGAGCTAAGACGAAAAGGTGTAGTCGACTTTGCGAGCCAGTAATGATGCCCAGAAAAGTTTCCCTGCCAGAAAATTACTTTTTCATCTGAGCCTCAGATGGGAAGGAGGACCGAACTGTGTGAATCAATTGAATGCTTCATTCCTTCACCACCTCAACATTTTGCACAAGTTGTCATCACACCTACCCTTTCCTTGTGCTCCTTTGCTCCTTTCCTCTTGAGGCTCAGGTTAGCAACTATATCCTACTGGCTAGAAACTGACTTCAACCATAATGGGAGTCGGCTACCCCTCCTTTTCTCCGCTCTAGCGCATAATGTTGGAGACGAGGGGTGCCTCCCACCACCAATTTCATATGTGAAGTTTGCTGAAATAGACAGCACGACGCTCTCAAGAAATTCACCTCTGACTTCCTAATAAGAGCAACTTGCAACTCGATAATTCATTACGGCTGTCAAAGCTGATTTTAAGAGTCCTAGAAAGCCAAAGATCGAACTCGAAACGAGGTCGAGCTGTATGTAACTAGCTGTAATCACTGGAAGGTCACATCAGGAGCGAAAATTCGTCAAACATTCGAATGGTTGCAATAAAGAGTCATCATCTTCGTCTGAAATTTATTGAACAATCGGCTGAATCACTGAAGCAACTGATTTATTCGATCGGAGGTGGTGTAGCGGGAAGTGGCGCACCATCACAAACGCATAGTCATGTGTTCGAATCCCGGACTGTCATCCGCCTGAGCCAGGCAAGCCTTCCATCACTCCGAGGTCGGCTAATATGTACCAGACTCGTCTGGGAGGCACCTCAAGTCATTGTATAGGCCAAATGCACACTAATTACGCCACTACGATTCTGAGCGGTGCGCATCCTTCGAATGGGATCGGAGAACTCTCAAATACTTTATTCTTTTATTCAGTCAAAACAAAAACTCGTACAATTCGAAAATCTAGCGCCTAATGACGATCAAGTCTAACAACTAACCAGGAAATTCACAACAAAATATCACTAAATAAACATAAATATGTGTGATGTTTCCTAAAAATAAAAGTACATAACATTCTGGGATTCAATTTATAACAGCCGATCACAGCCACCTGTTTTTCCAGCAGTAAACACCGCCATCTAACAATGAACCGGATGATTAGGAGTGGAAGTCAAAAGAGGGAAAATCACTCGGGATTCAAAAAGATCAAATCAGAGAAGGGGAATATGGGAGAAGCTCAACGATTTCATGGAAAATATTTTGAAAAAAAAACTAACGAATTCGGAATAATCATTTTCCCTGAGAACTAAGCAGCAACCAACTGAACCTAAGAAAATGGTACTCGGTGTATGAGTTCCCCATTGGTAAGCCGCCGTTTCAGCTCTGATCTCAACAGCTCCTGAAAGAGATGACTATTCGCATGATGTGTGAGTATATTCGTAGAGGATTTCAGGGCAAAGAGAATTTCAATTTTAATTCAGAGGAATCATGCAAACGAATGAGAATTCTGAAATCAGGGAAAAAAAAGAGGTAGGAAGGTCAGGAAGACTAATCGGGGCTTGAACATCGGACTTTTTCAATGGACACCTTCAGAAAACACCTAATCAGCTCCCCTACTTAATTCAGTATTAGCCACGGGCGACCAATAGGAGGAGCATACGTCCCAATACAGCCAAAGAATACCCAAAGTACAGTAGTAAATGGCATTTTGCCCCTTTTGTCATGTCTCTTCAAAGAACCCATTAATTCCACTGAACCTTAAGAGCCATTGGCACAACCCAGAGCCTTGGAGAACACCTTCATCTCTATTTTCTAGTTTTCAGACTTTTCCATAATGGTGCCCCATAACCAGCTCTTATCTGAAAAGCTTACCTTTTCCTTATTTGCCTTCTTCAGTATGCTACTATTCTCAGTTGCTCTTCGAGTAAGGTAAGGTAGCACTTTATCAACAGGACCATACGGCAAGTACTTGTAAACCGAATATCCTGCTTGACCAAGTGAAAATGAGATCTGAAAAAAGGGGATAATAGGAAAGGAAACTTAAACAGTGACTGATGATGAAATGCTTTTCTGATAAGGGCAAAAAATTCTGAGCAGCGAGCCAGAGAGTAATGGTTATTTGCGTTACTGTAAGGAAAGAAAATTTATGGCCAGGAATTGCAAAGTATCTGATTTTACAGTATCGTACTGGCTTATTTGCAGGAAAAGTCAGTGAGCACGTGCCCAACGGACAAGCGCCTCGTCATGAATCCATCATCGGATCGTCGTTATGAAGAATTCTTTCCAGTGAGTTAGGTAGAGCAAGTGGTGAGATACAGCTGTAACTTGTCATAAAGACTTTTGATCACGCTGAAATCCAAAAGAAACCTCATGCACCCCTACACTTATTCTCAGCGACTCCGAGCAGAACCCTAATCCCTATTGTGAGGAGGGAGAGGGGGAGGGGGGACTTGATTTTGTCAATACAAGAGAAAGACCCAAGAAACTTGAATCATACCTGATCACACATTCCATAGAGTTGAGCAAAGCACATGATCTTTTCGCTGGGAGCGATTCCGTAATCCTTCATCAGATTAACGGCAAATCTGAAAGTGGACGTATTTATTCGAGATAAAATTCGCACAACTGTAATCGATTACGGTATATCCGACCTCGTACTGTCTTCATTATGGCTTGCGATCATCACCGAAACACTGCCTTTTCCACGACGTACATGCTCCTCAGCAAGTCGTTTCAGACACGCGTGATACATCTCGGTAGTGGCCTGGAATACGTTACTTTACATTCGACGATGAAAGGGCTTTTGTAAATGATAATGAAGAATAATTGTACAAATCACTACTGCATAGATCTATACTTACTTCAAAATTTGGATTTATTGGATCGGGATAACCAATGGTGGAAGCTCGCTTCCGTTCCTGAAAAGACACAGACAATTCAGAGATGTCCATGACGCTTCTCGGTGGACCCTGTTATTACTATTGGAATCATTTTCTTTGAAAAACTCAAATGAAAGTGATGAGTGAGGCTACCCGATCAAAGATCTCAACACCCGACCGACCCTCTGATATCAGCTTAGTCCTCCCACAATCATAGGTTCATAGGAATACCATACGACCTTCGTAAGTGATGGCGGTTGGGTGGCCTCACAAATGTTCCCATCCTTTTAGGTACGCCGACATAGCAAATACAAACCTGCTCCATATAAGCTCCCCTGACTAGCTTGAAACCGAAATGCCATCCTTCTCTACTGGCTTGCTGCATATCACATTCCATACAATCCAAAGCATTTCGAAGATAAGCCTGATAGGTATTGAAAACATTTCCACGCTCTTTATTGTACCTGTAATAAGTGACTGGGGAAATAGGTAGAATAGAGATACGAACAATGTTTTCGAGCCTTCGAATACAATTAGGAATGAAAATAAGGCTACGGCCTTACCTTCTCATCATTTCTATTGTAATCCTTGAGATGGCTGGTTGGAAATAGGTCTGTTCTGCATCGATCATCACTCGAACTCCTTTACTGATTGAGTATTCGGTTATTTCAATCAAGCGACGGACCATGTTTTTGAACTGTAAAATTCCATACCCCTTCAGAACGCACAACTTGTAGAGGAGTATTTCCACGTGTAAATAGAAAAAGGAGCAGCCAACAATTGCGGAGATCGCGCCGACTTGACAACAGTCAGGAGCTGAGTAGGATTCAAAATCAAATGTAAAGGATAAAGGATAAAAACTTCGGGCGCTAAGGGATGCGCCACGCATTCGACTTCTATTCAGAATTGTAGTAGTGTATTGAATGTGTATGTGTGTGACCTATACAATGACTTTCGGTGGCCAGCCAATATACAAGTCTATACAAGTCGGTACTTTTGTTCTCCCAGACTAGTCTGGTAACGATTAGCCGACTCCGGAGGGATAGAAGGCTCGATTGGCTCAGGCGGATATCGATATAGAACTCGAACCCATGACCATGCGTGTGAGAGAGTGTGCCACTTGCCACCACACCACCAAAATCAACCGTGTGTCTTGGAATCCGTGAAGGAGCAGTAGCGTTCGACTCGGCCATCAATGATTGCTAGTTAGTTGTCTCGTTGCGCACAGGGTCTCTTCTGGTCACTTCTCACCTTGGTATGTACGCTTTTCGTCTAGCATTATGTCGTAAAAGTCTTACGTCAGTCACATTGTAAGACAGGGTCGTGTCAACTCAACTTTAACAGAACGAAACAACGAAATTATGAGTCAGGGAATGAGAACGCCTCTGTGTCAGTGGAAGGGCATCAGTGACCCAGACGCGTACAGATTCCTCCATCATCCCGTTTTCAACCCATTCCTCAACCTACCTGCATCAAAATAAGTCCCCTACTAGTTCCTATCGAGAAACCTAACCTCCA